AGCATCATATTATGTATTATTATGTTCAATACAAACAATCATTAAGTTACACTCACCCCAACCGCGTCTCCGCATTGCATCGAATCCTATGAAAATGTGGTTTTTGGACATAGTAATACTTATTTTTCACAATTTTTATTTTTAAAAATTACTGGTCGATAGGTTACTTTATTTTGATGAATAAATGTTATTAAAAGTTTTTTTCTAAAACTGATGGTTTAGCTGGAAAAAAATATTTTACATCCCAATAGTACGCCGGCTGCGCTCGATTCGGATATAATGACGTCACGCGGCCCTGCGTACGTTGACTTTTAGCGGCAAAAACGGCCTATGTTTATTACTTAATATCTTCGTAAGTAATGGTCCGATTTGGATAATTCAAAAAGATATATCTTTCTTATGTCTTAAAGATTAACGTAGATACTAGTTTTATTGAATTTTCTACAACAGTACTGATCCTCATTGTACCAAGTTTTGTTAAAATCCGTCTAGTAGTTTTTGTTTCTATAAGGAACATACAGACAGACAGACAAACATTTTACTGATTGCATTTTTGGCATCAGTATCGATCACTAATCACCCCCTGATAGTTATTTTTAAAATATATTTCATGTAGGTATAGAATTGACCTCTCTACAGATTTATTATAAGTACAGATATTTGGGCAATGATTACTTAGAAGTTGTTTCGACATCAGCCACACAGTTTTGACAGTTCCAACTCCTTTCCAGACAGTTTTATTAGGATAGCTGCCAAAGCAACGATGACCCAAACTTCATAATCCACCAACATTCTAACCTATATTGGGAGCATACCAGCGTATGCTTTAAAGTTTGTCAGCACAAACTTTCAGTTTTTAAAAAATGACGTAGGTCTGGCGTTCACCAGCTCTTAGTCTATAGTATCTCAATCTCAGAGCCTTGGTTTAATTACAATACAGTTTAGCACCAAAGTGCTCGAAAAGACAAATCCAAAGTCGATAGGTTTCCACCGTTTCGTTTAGGAATTCCTATGGCCACCCCTGACTTCATCATCAGTACTCTGGATAGGGCTGCCAGGTCCAAAGACACAAAAGCCGGACTTTGTGCTTCATTTGGCCGGACATTTCACCCTAAAAGCTGGACATGTGAGGGGAGAGGGGGGTGCAAAGCTCACGAGTGAGTACTATCATCATCGGTTGCCCAACCATCCTGATGCGTGCGCTCCATATTATTCTATGGCTCGACTTTCGCCTGGCGCGGCAGCCAAATAAAAGGCCTAACAAAAGCCGGACAGGCCGGACAAGGCAATATTTGACCGGACAAGACCGTAAAAAGCCAAACATGGCTAAAGCCGGACACCTGGCAACCCTACCTGGACTTCATCTAGTACTAAAGTGCTCGAAAAGACAAATCCAACGAACCCAAATACGATGCGATGCCGCCGTTTCATTTACGAGTTCCTATGGCCACCTCCTGACTCCATCATCAGACCAGCTTAATGGTACTATAATAACATTGCATTTTTATCGTAACATAAGTAACTATACCAAATTTTAGCTCAATCGGTTGAGAACTGGTCTTAAATTCAGTTGCAAGATTTGTCCCACACATACTAAAAAGTGAAATATAAAGCTTGTAAATAAATAAAAAATAACATTTTTATATCGTTTCGTTCTGGTTACAAAAACTGTTTTGTTTTGGGTTCTGGAAGTACTTGTCAGAACGCGTTTTTCTAGTGTTTTTCAGCGTGGCTGCTGTATCTTTTTGGTAAATAGTAGGTACTGGATTAACGATTAACGGACTTAGGATAATTTAACGGAAGTTAACGAGTCCGTTAACATTTTTTAAAGTTAACTTAAAAGTTAATCCGTTAATAGAAATGTTAACTTCGTTAATTAACGAGTTAATGCCCAGCTATGCCTAATAGGCTATTAATTCAAAAACCTTCACTTGTGTATTCACATGACAGTCCAGTTTTCCGGGATGCAATAAAGCAGGAAACTGGACTGCGGTGTGAAAGGGCCCTAATACTTCACCTTCCAGCCAGGTCCTGCTGCTCAGCGTCTACGTCACAGCTGGGAGCTGTCACGTTCTTGTTCTTCAGCCCGAGCTGCATCTGCGACCAACGAGACTACTTGAAAATATTTGTCATCCACCATTCGCTGCGGGGTCGAATGAACTCGGACTTAAAGTCAATAAAATTCCGTGGTCAGTTTTTTTTGTATTATAAGCATTTATAAAAAGCCTACCAACAATTCACTGACTTGTTTTAAACATTTTAAACTATATTTTAGATAAAAGTTTACAAAAATCTTCTTTGTCGTAACAATGGTCCGACACGACTGTTTTAAATAATTTTATTAAGGTCTTAAAAAGAAATTATCAATGTAAAAAAATAACCTTTTTACTACTTGTTATCTCAAATCGTAGTACATAAGTCTAAAATAACCTTAAATACGTTTTTGTAAACATTGTACACAGAAAATACTTAGCCAATAAAAGGTACAGGGTCATGATCGTATACTTGCATAGCCCAGGGATCGAACCCGCAACCACTCCTAAAAATATTTTGGATAAATTATAGGTACGATCTTTGAAAGATATTGTAAGCTATAGATACCTTAAAATTCTGTGGACAGATACCGAATAGGTACCTCTCTAGAGTCTGTTTGAACTCATCTGCGAACATCAGCGCTGGTCCATCGTTGAACTGTAACAATAAAAACGTTCATTACTAACATGCTAAAATTCTTCAACTGCAGGAGAACGAGCCTCTCTAATACTAGAGAGAATATTGAGGACTTGACCTCATCATTTCAGCCACAGGACGTCCACTGCTGAACATAGGTCTCCCCCAATGCTTTCCATATTGCCCGGTTGGTAGCTGCCTGCGTCCAGCGCCTTCCTGCTACCTTTATCGGTCCACCTTGTGGGTGGACGTCCCACGCTGCGTTTTCCGGTACGTGGCCTCCACTCCAGAACCTTGCTGCCCCATCGGCCATCAGTTCTGCGTACTATGTGCCTGCTTGAGGCACTTAGGAGTACTTGACCTACACACGCTGGATAGACGGATTGTGGAGGCCTGAACCTGAATTCGCATTATTACTTACTCTTTTAGTCAAATACCAGCACTTTTTGGTTTCTATAAACGTGAAAAACCCATTTATCTATTTGCGAAAGACATTATTATGAATAGTTTGTATGAATCACGGCCGACAAGCGTGGTCCCAGACACCCTTGTGTATATTATACATTGTACAGTATGAAATTTTTCTCACTGAAGAAAGATCTCAAAAATACATGAAACATTATATTTTCGCGGTAATAAGTTATTTTATTAACAAAAACTAAATTTGTGTTTGCGATCTAAGAAATTTTATAGGCGATAAATGTCATAATAATAAAAACTATGATTAGTGTCTAAACCTTGCCAAGAGATAAACTAATGACTTTACAAAAAACATGTTCACAGGAAAATTAACACAAATTATTTATTAATTTTAGTAAAAAAAATATTTTTTTTAGTAAATTAAGACGAATATAAAATAGTAGTATTTACAAAACTGAACATGGTATCACAAATGCGCTAATTTTCGCGCGCTTTTTCCCAATAAAAGTTTTGACAGCTCCTTGGCGAGCGGGAAATGAAACGTCAAAGGACATCATCCATTTTGGTCCAAAATCAAAAGTGCCGGCCAAAAAATAAAAGTGCTGTATTCTGATAGAATATTTCCGCCTTAGCATTTATTACTATGGCACCAAAACTGTAGCACCACTGTGCATCGTAGTATTTGAGCTCTAAAAATATATGAAACGACTGACTTTGATCTCAAATAGGACGATGCACAGTGGTGCTACAGCTTTGGTGTCATAGTAACAAATACTAAGGCGGACGTATTCTGTCAGAATACAGCACATTTTTTTTTATTGGCCGACATTTTTGATTTTGAACAAAAAATTTATGAATCGTCGATGAATTTTAGATCTCAAATACTCGACGCACAGTGGTGCTACAGCTTTGGTGCCATAGTAACAAATGCTAAGGCGGACGTATTCTGTCAGAAGACAGCATTTTTTGTTATTGGCCGACACTTTTGATTTTGAACAAAAAATGTATGAATCGTCGATGAATTTTAGATCTCAAATACTCGACGCACAGTGGTGCTACAGCTTTGGTGCCATAGTAACAAATGCTAAGGCGGACGTATTCTGTCAGAATACAGCACTTTTTTTTTATTGGCCGACATTTTTGATTTTGAACAAAAAATGTATGAATCGTCGATGAATTTTAGATCTCAAATACTCGACGCACAGTGGTGCTACAGCTTTGGTGCCATAGTAACAAATGCTAAGGCGGACGTATTCTGTCAGAACACAGCACTTTTTTTTTATTGGCCGACACTTTTGATTTTGAACAAAAAATGTATGAATAATCGATGACTTTTAGATCTCAAATACTCGACGCACAGTGGAGCTACGGCTTTGGTGCCATAGTAACAAATGCTAAGGCAGACGTATTCTGTCAGAATACAGCACTTTTTTTTGTTGGCCGGCACTTTTGATTTTGGACCAAAAATATATGAAACGTGGATGATGTCCTTTGTAATTTTACTTTACATAAAAGTTCTTAGATGAATATTATTATTAAATAATGCTGTATTGGTGGTCATGGAATCAAAATATAGTTCTTTTGTCACGAATTACGACCTACTTTGTAAATTAAGGTTACTACTTTATTGCATTGGTTCCCAAACTTATTTGAGACGCGTCCCCTTTCGACCTTACAAAAATTCCGCGCTCCCCCTCCTCCAGTCAAGACTATTAATTGGTCGTATCGAGCAGTCTGAAATGTTGTTTTTTTTATACTTGAGTACACAGATAGCCCGCGCCCCCCTTTAAAGTTCTTTGTGCCTCCCCTGGGGGGCGCGCCCGCCACTTTGGGAACCATGCTTTAGGGTGTTCAAAATATTAGTAGCATTAGGGTAATCGCGTCATATCCTTCAGAGATGTTATAAAGATAGAACGTATTACGTATGTCAAAATAACACTGGTACAATGCCCTAACTAATGCAATGGATGAGTTTGGAGTATTATTTTTAGCGAACTCCTGAATAGCAGACGCCCACGCGCTGTAGATTTATTTTGTAAACAATACAAATTGCGCCCGGATAATATTGTAGAAGATTTTTCTTACCATGCAATCCAGTCCCTGCATTACGGATGCTGTAAAACTGGACTTGTCGTGGGGTGTTGTGAACACACTATAGTGCGAACGGATCGGTTTTTTGTAGGATACTGCAAACGGGATTTTGAACGTTAATATCAAAACGGGATCCTACAAAAAAACGGAATGTTTTCGTGGGAACAAGGCCACAGGGCTCTTTTTTACGCCCTTTTATTAATATTTTGCTTTAATGTATAATTTTATGTAACCTCCCTGACGTTTCCGATCAACCAGCAGATCAAGCGCCACACTCTCCGAAGGGATCCCGATCACATCCCTAAGCAGGCTCTGGATTGGAACCCCCAAGGAAAACGCAAACGTGGTCGCCCCAAGCAAACTTGGCGGCGCACTGTAGCAGACGAGGCGAAGAAAATCGGCAAGACCTGGAGCGAGATCAAGCGCGAAGCTCAAGACAGAACGCGATGGAGGACTGCTGTGGACGCCCTCTGCCCCATCTAGGGGACATTATGACCTTAAGTCAAGTCCCTGACGTGCTCTTAGGTAATTTTGACAAAATTACAGAATGTTTTGTCTTGATATGAATGTCAACTAGGCTAGGTACCCTAGTTTTCATCATCATCATTTCAGCCATAGGTCCACTGCAGAACAATGATTTGCGGTCTGCATCCAGCGCCTTCCTGCAGCTACCTTCATAAGGTCGTCGGTCCACTTTGTGGATGAACCCTAGTTTTAGGGTCATGAAAATAATTAGGTAATGTTTTTGGTTTAGAGATTTCCACACGCGCAAAGCCGTGGGCAGAAGATAGTATACTAATTTAATAATCGCTGGCTCTCTGCCAGAGCTACAAGGATGATCTGTCTGTATGAAGTTTATCGAACGCGAACTTATGAATTGGCTGTCATGAAATATCGTTTGATTTTAATAGCGAGCTGGCCAAGGCAAGATAACTCAAACAGTGCGTACATTAGTAAGGCAAAGCTTCCAGTGGGTTTTTGAACTAATGTGCGATAATGGTAAATTAACCATTACGTGTAATAAAAAATGTATCTGGATTATTCTGAATAATAATTCAGAAAATTCATTTATTTGGTTCACGATCTGTCTTGTTATGTAACAATCTTTTTAAACTTTTATACTTGCTTCAGAAGTTCAGACCCAGTGCTCCCATGTTTGATTTACGGTATAGGCGGATTTTTCAGTTCGATTTGGTTGGTTAGCTGCCCCTCACATATCACGCTCCAAAGAATCTGGAAATAGACTCAATGGGACTAAGCAGTGAACTCTAAATACAAGGGCTGCCACAATAGATCAAACCTGGTCGAGCTAGCGCAAATGAAGGCCCAAAAACCAATAATAAAATAATAATAGCTGCCCCTCCCTGGAAGTCGTTTTGAAGGTACTGATGGCCGTTTTCATCATCAATCCCTAATTTTTAAGTGACCCCTATGAAAACAAAATTCCTGTTTCTGTTACCATAGGGGTCACTTGAAAATTTAGGATTGATGGTGAAAATAGGCATAAAACCTACAAAGTTTGGCAGGTAGGTTCCTAGTTCGCTAGACGTCCGCTAAGAACGGATTTTAGGAAGGGGGTAAAACAGGGTCCACGGTGTAAAGGACAAAAACCTGTGCAAGGGCCCTACTACTGTCGTGCTTTTACCACAGAAAAATATTTCTCGATAGACGACGTTTCCCAAACTTTTCTTACTAAGCCTCTACAAAATTTTTGTAACTTTAAAAAATAACGTTTATTAATGAACCGACTTAAAAAGACTCAAAGCAAAAATGTCTTCTAACAAAACGCAATAAAACAAAATATATTTATGGTTTCGAAATAATAATATTAGTTTAGTAGGATTCAATCGTACGCGTGTGTATTTTGATGGCTGCCCACACAATCAAGATTTATTTTGTGTTACTACATCGTGCAGTTGATTCCATCATCTTCGGTTTTGTGAAGATATGACTCAGTCTTTGAATATACGTAGGTACCTGCACAGGTGTAAACATTTATTCAAAAATATTCATAATTTCTGTACAATTTCAGATCGTGTTTTTTTAGTTCCACTACGTAAATTTGGCAGAACTAAGTTTGAATTATTGTCCGAAATTACCAGTAAAATTGACTCCATTTGCGACAAAAACAGGCACACCCATCACATATTAAAAAGGCAATCTTTTTGGTATCTTTTATTGAAATTAAAACCTTATAATCTTCAATAGTCATGAGTGTCACCTCCTTTTGGTGCAGTCGGGTAAAAAGCGCCTTTATACCCACAGACCCACGCTGAACTGTCCCACCAAACTCAATGACAGGGGGGCGCTACCATCGTTCAACTATATGGTTTCCAACATGGCAAAAAACCGGAACCAGCGATCCGGTATAGACGGTGGCACCCCGCTGTCAATGTCATGGATAGGAACTGTTCAGTATATTGGAACTATACCAGGGTGACCTGTCAGACTGCGAGTACTGACAGGAAACTTTATGTATTTTATTTATTTATACCTACTTTAATGCCAAA